CAGCAGTTGGACAGCAGAACTATGAATGAAAATTCCTCTGTACATCAACTCATAATAACTTTCTTTAAAAAAGAGCCTTCTCAGAGACTTAACTAAAATTATAACACAGTCCAGAAACAGAGTTGAAGCAAAGTTCGGGATCATTTGTTTGCTGACTTTGCTAGAAGACAGCTCAGGTAGAAGAAAATCTTTGTTGATGCTAAAACTTCCTTTGAGTCTTTCATATTTATAAAAGCATACTCAAATATGTTTCTGTATTTATTAAGGTGAATAAGCATGCTTGATATATATTTACACTACGTATATATTATAAAAGAATCTACTGCTGATAATGCAGAATGAATGTCTAACTATATAGGATGACATAGTTATCATTATTTCCCTTTTTGATGTGTGACTGCTAACAGGAAAATAAAATTCTAATGAATTTGAAATATTTAAATTATTTCCATTTTGCACTAAGGATATATTGGAAATCTAATATTTTATTTTATAAGATATTAGCTAGAGGTCTAAGATTGCTCATAACTCTACAGAGGGACATAAAAACAAAAAGAAAGACTGGGACTTTTTAATACATGGATTTGATAAAGTTATACCTTAATTGCTGCTATCATAGTAGTCAAGAAGCAGTTATTGATGATTATCTGAAAATTACTTAAGAAATTTCCATTAAAATCATAGTTTAAAAGCTTTTCTGAAAGAAATAATTTAGCTTCCTTTGTGAACATGGTGAATATTTTATATTTTATTATAGAAAACAGCATGCATATTTTCAACAAGAAAGCATCCTTCCCATAACACCTCAAATAACATATTCAATTTAAAATGTAAGCATGACATTCAGGCTTCATTTGCTGTTGGTGTCAATCTAAAAAAATATAAATTGATGCAGACAGAAAATTCTAATCTGATGCCCTACGGCCAGATCCAATAAAACAGTTAAGCATCTAAATTTGGTGTTAAAGCAACTAACTTTTAGGTGTTTGTCCTGCAGATGGGAATCTTGGGCTGAAATGATCTGGGTTTTACATTCCTATGTAGTATATAGTGTAGGTATTGCTGGGAAGGTACCACTTAGGAGGTGTTATGAGTGCGCATTGCCTCTAACATCAGCTAGCATCACCCAAACCAGGTACTCCAAACGGGAATCTAATGAAGTTAACAAGTAGAACTATAGTCTGTCTAATGTCAACAGAAAATCATATGCAGCTATCTGGAGCTAGTAAATAGAGAAATTATTATAGTAGGACTGAGCTATAAATTCCGCCTTGCAGATCCCATATGATCAGACTCTAGGTCTAAGGGCAAAGGGACAATGGTAAAATATACTTCCCTCCTTTACACAAAACATAAACCCCAAGGATACTGCCCAGGAAATTTGCTGCAAGTTCAATTCCCTCTTCTGCCTACAAGGAATTGGGATCCACGTCTCCAAGGAGTGTGTGTTTAACTTTCAAACCATTGATTATTTTGAACTCTTTTTCTTACAACACTGCAGGTCACTGAGCAAGAAAACAATCAGGATTCAGCAGTCTAGTCCTTAGTTTCTCCACTAGTTCCTCCTTCCTATGCTGTTTTCAGATTTAACAAACACCACTGAAGAGCTGAACAAGTATTCAGCCCCATAAAAAACATCAAAAATACACTTCTCGCCACTTCAGACTGGGAGATTTGCAGGACTTCAGATAACAGCTGAGCAGGTTAAGTGATAAAATATAGCTCACCAATACTGAGGGACTATCTAGAGCAAACTCTTTGAGTCATAAAAACTTTACCTGAAAAGACTCAGAGCCTTAATTTTAACGTAAAAGGCTGAATGGATCTTTTTTACTATGACTTCTATACTTTACGTAAATCATTCTTGTGATCTGATCTAATAAAGCCAAATGTGCATCATCAAATAGTCCATAATTACAGGTTACAAAATTAGATACTTGGTTTTGATGATGGCTGTCAAGTACTTGAACTAACACTATGTACTTGAACTTACCTCATTCTTCCCAGGATCATTTGCAGTTCTACAGATCACTTCCAGTAAAAATGGAAAATCTGCTATCCTTTAATAAAGAAAAATCCTGGAAATCTAGGGTAATTGACTTCTCCAGTCATACAGATAATGACATCTTGAATTATGTATGAACTGTGGGGCAGAAGTGCTCTGCAGTGTCTCCTGCAGTTTTCCCTAGTCCAGACTAGGAACCTGGCTGGATGACAACATAACCCTTAGCAAATCTAAGTTTTCTTCTCATGGAACCCAGGGAGTGGGTGGATCTTTAGATGTGTACATTGGGTCTTGCCCCAACATGAGCTAGGACATGGCCAAGTTGCACATCTGGAGTCAACAGCTGGAAAATGTTCCCAACACCCACAGTTTACACTTTGAGAACAGAAACTCCTGTTTTCTTGCAAGAAATATTGACACAGAGCCTGATGTAAATAGGGAGAGAGTTAGATCCATAGAACCTAATTTGACTCTTGGTGCGATAATGACAACCCGACTCCAATGGAATGTGAGGTCCCTCCAGGCTGCATACACCAGAACCTGAGAACAGATTTTGAAGACGGTCTAAAGAAAAATAAATTAAAAAAAAAAAAAAAGCCAAAACAAAACACCAAACAAAAAAAAACTTCACAAGAGATTTACTGGTAGCTTAAACACACCGTATTATTAGTTTTGCAAGTAATAACAATTCTGGCTGAATTTTGAATAGAAATGTATATGATCTTCAAAAGACTGAATACCCTCAAACTGTTACTCAGTTTGCAAGTAGCAATGAATTGTTTCTAAATATATTAGACAATGTTGCAAGTACTGGGTAAATTAACTTATTTGTTTTATGTTTATAACAGATAAATGGTATTTTCTCTCCTGTATCCAACTCATAGATCAGGTCAGAGAAGTGATTCATCCCTCTGACATATGTTAAGTCTTTTCAAAATTTGGTATGTTGATCAGTTGCCTCTGCTGTAACTTTATTCCCCCTTTAAATTCTCTCTTGACTGTAAGTTTTCCCTGATCTCAGATCACTTCAGAGATTTTTTGCCTTTTCATTTTTTTAATGGAAGAGAAGATAAGAAGAGAAAAAACAGGGCCTTCTTTACCAGGCACAAATTCCCAGGTTCAATTAAAAGCCATTTTAGTTGTAGCTGATAGATTTCTGTCAACAAAAGTAGAAGAAAACACAAACTTCTGTTTTCCTCTCTCTCTCTTTCTTTTGAATCAGATGATGAAGGTGATGCATTTTCAACAATAAGAGTACTGCCACCTACATATGTTTGTTCACATTTTTAAATATGGTTGCATTCTCACTGATTTGCAGTGGTAAGCAACAGTTTGGAAATCTGATTTCAAGCTCACAGTGACAGAAGTAGATAATTACTATCTCCACAAATATCTATAAGTTAAATCACTTGTTTTAATACAGATTAGATTAGTATTAAAGTTACAAGATTGGTATGAGAGACATGATAAATGTAGTCATGACAAAAAACAATTTTTAATTTAGTATACCCTATCAATCTAGATAGCCCATGAATATTTACCATTAATTCAGTAGGCTGGAACAGAGGGGGGAAAAAAAGAATAGAAAATAGAAGGTTTGACCTAAACAAGGACTGAAGAAAAATGAGAATTCTCAGCAGTTTTAATGAGAACAGATCTTGCAAAAATGTGAACTGGCAATAGATTGGAAAACTACATTTGGGGTACCACCATAAACAAAGCCTCTGAAAAACCTGAATGACATGCAAAAATAGTAGCAATTCTTAATATGTACTTCTCTTTGCCGGATTTACCAGTCTGATTACACTTAAATGAGTAACCTCAAAGGCTGAAATAAAATCGTTTATGGAAATTCAAAACAAACCTATTTGATCACATCATACTTCACAGCAGGGATACAATTTGCAGGGGCTGGGTGAGGGCATAGTATAAGCTAAAACAGGTTGTGTGTGCAATGAACCAAACTAAATGGTTTATATAAAAGAAATGTTGTTTCCATTAATTTTTCTGGTAATCCTATTAAAAATGCCACCTGTCCAGAATAGAATTGTCCAGATTTTAATTCTTTTTCATGTCTCAATGTTCAAACACAAGACAGAGAAGGTATCATCTTATAGCTATTAAAATGTGGCACAAAATATCTTATTCTGAAATCATTACTACAGCAGTTTCCCCAGCTCTGTTTCAATGTCTGGCTATTATACCTTTTACTTTTGGTCTCAGTGTGCTCAAAGATGTGATTTTTCTGATAAGCCCAAACAACATTTTTTCAAAGGATATGCCATATTTCTAATCTCTCTTGTTTCAAAATGTTTCTAGTCTATAATACCTAAAATTCACATATATAAAGTAAATGTAACATGAAATGCACCTTTTAAAATTCCACCACCACCTGTCCAAAATCCCCTGTAATAACCCTGAACAGGAACTTAACTTTGAATATCAACAGAGCTGAAATGGTGTCATAATCAGCATAAGTGCATGTGGACTATTCACCTAGATCAAACACTTTGGTCATATACTCAATTAAATTTAAATCCTATTATATAATGTGTACCAGGATCATTTTATGCAATTCCCTAATTTAATGGCTTGGTATTAGCCTTTTTTCTTTTTGCACACATGGACTAATTTTCACGGTGCTCAGTCCCTTTGGGAAGTAGGTCACTGAAGTCAACTGGATGAAGACAGAAACTTAATACCTAAACAGTGTTGTAGAAGGGTCAGAGACACAGTAGTGATGTAAAATTGTTTTTCACTAATCCTTCTTTGTAATCTTTATGAAATTCCTCCCTCGTATAAATATTGTTCATAATCTCAAGGACCACAAAGTAGAAGAATCAAGAAAGCTATCATCCTGTTATAATTTAATTTGTGAAATAAACAAACAAAAAAATCCCAATTAAAAAATAAAAATTCCAATTATAATACTATTTAGCTGTTGAGACAATATTTGTTTTACACTGAAACTGTAGAACCATAATATTCATATTACCTTTCTCAATGTGTATTCTTTTTGTCTCATGTCCCACGTCATGACCAGCCAGATCACCCTCCTTAGGTCCAGGCAGGACATTAGGTGACAAACCCATCAGCATCTGGTTCATAGATAGCCCATTCTGATGGACAGCTGCTAGACACAAGTGCAGGCAGAAAGAAAATCAACTGTCATATTAACAATACACTTTTGAACTTATTTTATATACTCTTTCTCTTAATTTATAATTAAGAATGCTAACAATCACAAAGTTACCTAATTAGTGCTATCACTATCCGTACAGTGGTGGAGTTTTTCCCTGTTAATTCTGTTTAAAACAATTCATTATAAAAAGAAGAGTTCAGTATCTTTGGACAAAGTTGGATATTTGCAAACATTTTCTCGTTTATTTAACAGGAATCAAAATGCAAAATGAAGCAAACCAGAAAAGCATAGAAGGTTCAATGTGAGATACTTATTGCTTTTTTTTTTTTTTTAGTTGGTTGTACAAAAACTCTTGTATATTGTCATTCCCAACATGCAGTCCATAACTTCCTTATATTAAGCAATGTGGCCAGCCAGATAATAAACATGTTTTTTCAAAATATACTGTGCAACAGTAGAATTGCTTATTTGCTCATCAGATAGCTTGAAAAGGTCTTTCCAGCAGTTCTCAAATAGACCTCAAAACCCCATATAAGGTACTTTATATCCCCTATGTTTTTATCCTGAAAAAAAAATTATTTGCAAGAGGCTTGTGTCATTTTCAGTAAAGCATTTTTTTATACGTAACCCAGATTTCTGTAGTAGTCATCTTACTGTTGCTGGTCCCACAAAAGCAGACGTACTTAAGAATCGAGTGTGATGTTAACAACTCAGATAGGAGTGAAAATAGTTATTTTATAAATAAATAAGCTACTGAAGTGATCCAGTGTTTAAGGAACTCTGTTATGTTCACATTAAAAGAAACAGTGTGCAAATGTCCCACTTCTCTCCACTCATAAGTAAGCAGAGTAACCTGAACAGTACAATTTCTTTAAAAAAAAGTGTCATTCCTTAGCAAAAACAGTAAGTATCTCTTAATTTTTTTTTTTTTTAATTTAGAGAACAATGGGAAAGGTCTTCAATGGTTGTACAAAATATGCTATTTAATGAACAACAACAGCAAAAAAAATTAAAAATTAAAAATCCAGGGTTGTGAGTTTTTTTTCCGAGAACTTTACTCATGAACTCTGGTGGCTTGACCCTGGCTGGATGCCAAAAGCTGCTCTATCACTCGCCCTCCTCAGCTGGACAGGAGAGAGAAAATATAATGAAAGGCTCATGGGTTGAGCCTGGGGAAATAGACAGGTCACAGTATATGGGATGCCAGTTTAATCTGCACTCTGAATTGTCCAAGTGGTAAGAAAACAGAATTTTCAGCTTGTCATGGTCAGGCCTCATTTCTTTTCTTTGGTAAGTCATTTTTCATCACACAGTAATGAAAAATCTTTCATCTGAAGGTCAATGAAGAGTCAGCTTCCTGAGTCTGCAGAGAGCCTGAAAGGAAGCAGTCTAAAAGACACGTGCTGTGTCTAATCAACACAACTACATATTGCATATAGCTGTTTCATGGCCGCCTATCTGCATGCCAAATACTCCAGTTTCACCTACTGACAAATTCCACTGTGGATAGATGCCTTAAAACACAAAAACCTGTAACAAAGCAATAATAAAAGGAATGGACAAGTGTAATATGAATTTAGGTAAATATCCATAAAATAGTATGTTTAAAACCTTAATTTCCAGGCTGTTGAACTGAAATATCATAGACTTAATGGTCTTTGCCATATCATTTATATCCTGTACATGGAGCCTTGATAAAAATGATACCACTCTGAGACACCATGGTTTAATTTCACTCCATCCCTTGTGAGCTATAAGGTGATAATACTCTCTGTATCATATTTCTCACCATTACAAATTTTTATAATACAAAAATTTATAAAGTATGTAATTTTTTAATTGATTTAACCTAATTACTCTTTACCAAGCACTTCTACCATATAATATGTTGCTTATGAAATCAGATTCAATTTAAAAATCAAAACGGAGTAACCAGATTAAATAAAACTCAATTTCTCTAAAAAATGTTTACACTATATGTTCAGTTCTAAAACTAATCTAGCGAATTGCTTCCTGGCTGCAATTCTGTATTTCATAGCTCATATCTTTATGTTTAATATGACATGATGGCAGTTTATATAAGTACCCGTTAATGTAGCATCAGATATTATAATACTGTAAACTGGGGAACATAATGCTGGGAGATAGTTATTGCAGCTGAACTTCCGAACATGATACATATGAGATCTATTTAAGACAAGGGCATTTTGATTAGAAAAACCATCTGCACCTAATCAAATTTAAAGTGGTGACAAGAAGAATGTGACCTACGGATTCTGTCTGAAGAGCTCTCGGTCCGTGCAGGAGAGCTGGACACACTGCTGCTTCGATGAGAGGATGGATGGCTGCCAGGTCTTCGGCCCTCTTCAAGAGAAGGAGCAGGAGAAGGGCTATCTGGAACACGTTCCTAGACCCCACAAAAAATAATTGAAAAAAAAAGGCAAGGTTAAACTAAACCTCTATTTCCAAACATCATTTCCCTAAACTGTATCTCCTTCTTAAATTACAACCTATTATTTCCTCTGTTGAGGTGTCCAGGATTTGCAGAGTATTCTCAAAGGAAATTTGGCATTTTTAGGACACTAGACCTTACATTTTAGTATGCAATGTGAGCGCTGCTCATCCTGTCAGGCTTTTAAACTGCTTTCTGGACTACTTATAAATATAAGGTTTTTGGTTTGCTTTTGATTATTTTTTCCCCTGACTTCTATCAGCATGAGGTTGAATTGGAAATACACATTTTGGTTTATAGACTTTAGCCTTATTGGATGAGAAACTATGTCCTTTTGTAAGTAAAGACACTGGTTTAGCTTATGCTGAATTTTACTCCACGTTTTAATTTCCAAGGGCAATGAGATCTTATGGAAGTCCTATGGATCACAAAGAAAATATAATCTCCCAACTGAACCTATAACAGTAACATGTGTGATGAAAGTTCAAATGGCTCTTTATACCATGGAGGGCAATACCTGGAACAAACCACACTTTTTGGAAGAGTCTGGCCATATCACTACTTAAAAATGGGGAAAAATGCCCATTCATGTTTTTCTATCCAGGGGAAAGCCTGGCATGGTAGCCAGAAGAAGACAGGATGCATTTCAAGTTGTTCCTTGATTTTGAAAATTAGAGCATGAGGACTGTGATGGTTTGAACTGCACTTCTGCTATGTGAGAACTGTCAGTATATAGCGGATAGATATATCTGACATTTACACAGAACTTTGACAGAAACAATAAACAAAGGGAGCTGAGTGCAGGGTAGTCCTTTCTAGAAAATTCTCTATCTTTCCCTGCAGTTTCCTTTTTATTGCTAATAGCTCTGAAGACACTAGGTCATTGCTAAAATATGTGTGCGTTAGGTTGATTTGTTCAAATAGTGATAAAAATAAATAGTTCCTACAAGGGAAATCTATTAGAGGGACTGAAAATGTTAAACTAGGGGGTTTTTTGTTGTCATTTTTTTTTTTCCCCATTTGATAATTGAAATCCTGAATCCTAATTTAAAAAAAAAAAAAACAAAAACAAAACCAAAACCAACAAACAACTGTATACATTCAACTAATTAAAATATTTCAGTAATGAAATAATATGATTAGTGTTTAATAACACATACAATAACTTGTTGCTGCAAATGCCTAAAAGTTTTCCTGAAAAAGAGCATCATGTTCCTCACACTGCAGGAGTCATTATTTTTTCCTGCACAGTAGCTAGATGAATATTTATTCCTCTAAATGCATTCATATGAAACTTAGCAACATGACCATCTACAGTAATCAATAGATTTGTTCCAGGTAAGTTTTATAATAAATATTTGCTAAATGTGAGATTCTGATTTCAAAAAGATTCAATAGACCTATGGATGGAGTGGGAGAAGACCTTTCAGAGAAATGTTTCAAGACATTTAAGTGGATTCCACTTTAATAGTCTTGGGTTTTTAAGTCAAAACCATTGATGATGACAGTTTAACTGTATCATAGCTCTAGGCTTATTATGACTTTGATTGCGTTTATATGTCCATGAACTGGGTATTCAAGAGGAGGATTATAATGCAGAGGTTTTCAGAATGTAGAAGATTTATTTCTTTAGATTTAGGAGGATTTAAACATGCACAGCGTACAGATTTGGAATAAATTGGAAGACGGTATATTTAATCATTCATTCAATATATAATTTCACTGTTTGGCATACAATGTATTGTTCTTAGAAGGGTTTCATTAAAATGAAATCCAGTGAGCACATAAGATTTGAATACAGAGCTGCAGAGTAAATTAATTTATTTAAACAGCTTAATTTGTTTATCCTATTTATTTATGTGTGCTTTTACAGCATGTATTATGAGATGGAGAGAGCAAAAGGAATGCACAGGACAACAAAATATAATTACTGCACAAATAAAACAGATAATGAGTTTTATTCACTTATAACATAGCAGACAAACTCTGTGAGAAAACTATACATACTGGCTTTATCAATCATTTGTAAAATACCCTTTCACCCCAACAAAACATGGGATTGAACTACGCAGAAATAGAAAATAATTTAATACCGTAACTCATTTTTTATAACCTTGCTTCATAATTTCACAATCAATAATATAGTCAATAGCAAATTTTTGTCTTTATCAGAACTAACTGCAATAATAAATGGAAATGCTACTAATAATAAATTGAAATACTCTGTAGCTCTAAAAAGCTATAGTGATAAACTAGTGGTTCTGGAATATCAATATAACCTGTCCTCCTTACTAGAGATTTTGTGTAGAAAAGATGGACTTTGTCTGTGGTAAAATATTAACTTTACATTTAGACTTCATTTAAATTTTTTTTTTTAAAATGAAATGTGTAAAAATGTGTTCAGTAAATAAGTCAGATGATCAGAGCTATTTTGTAACTTTGGCAAAATACTACTTTTGTATAAATAAGTCTACATGACACAGCAAAGAAACAGAATTTACTGTGTTATAATCCTGGTAACAGAAGTCACCTAGGATACTGTCCACTTTCCAGTATTTTTCCTAAAACTTGTCTACTCCCAGGACAAACTTTCATCCACTTAAGATATTTCTAGAGAATCTGGTGTTGGCTTGTACTGTAAATAGGCTCTTTGTCTCCCAACAACCAACCAACCAACCAAATAAAATCTTTGCTTTGCTGAAATTAAGTATGAGGAGGAAACTGCCGAGTTCAGTCTGACATCTACATATCTGAATATAAGTATCTAAATGCAGTTTTGACACATGACCTAGAGATGAAACTTCAGAGACATCTGCATATAGGATGCTACACAAAGGGTGGTTGTCTCGCATTTTCAGTCGATTGAGATATAAGTCAATGGAGCCTCTTCCAAAACCAGATACCTACGGGTCAGTTCAGCTGCTCACATTTGAGCCGTTTGAGCCCCTGAAGGGCTTTGAGATGTCCACACCAGGTTGACAGGCAGGACCTACAAAAGATCTGCTGCCTTCTGGAGTGGCAGCAGGATGCCAAAAACACTGTCCTTGCACTTACTGGCTGGTGAGCTGAATAGCTCCTAAAACTCTGTATTTTCTGTATTTGCTAGAAAACAAGGACAATGGCATTATTTACTGCTTGTAAAACATAACACTCACTAGCTAAATTTTTTCTCCATTTGTTGCTTCCCAGTTTGTTTCTACAGGTACTCACAAGTAAAAAGTAGTGTGATCAATTTTGTTCATATGTAACAATTTAACATATGGTCTTTTCAAAATTAGTAAAACTTTAAAATGGTCATCAGAACCAGAGATTATACTAAGCAGTGGACAACACACTCTTAAGGGCCAGATTTGAAGCATTCCTTATCTTGGTGCTCTTTACAACCTGATACAAATCATTAATCCCAAGCATTTAAGAATCTGACATTTAACTCCTCAAAAAATGCTCCTACCCTATGTGAAATATTCACTTTAGGGAGCTGCAATGCCCTTTCCTATACTCTTACTCCACTGACGTTACAAGTTACACATGCTCAATATCAAGTTCATTTCACAAACAACAGAATTGTTCCTGTGACACTGGTTGTTAGGGGTTTTTTATCTTGTAAAGAACAGGTAAAAGATTTTAACTATCAGAGATTTTAACTTATGAGACTGAAGTTGTCTCTAGAATTAGAAATCACTCCAATTTTGTCCCAGAATACCACGTATCACCCAAACACAACACTGTCTCAGTCTCTCCAAGTAGAAGTGTCTTGATGTACCTGTCAATATTTTTCAAACAGCTCTCTGCATAGATACAAAGACCATACTGTAAGATCTCATTCCAAAAGTTCCTTTTAAATTATTTCCCATTAAGATTTATCTTAACATATCAGTAATGGACCCAGAAGACCATAAATGCTTTCTTCTCTGTATCATATGTCTTTTTCTTCTTACCAGGTCAGGTCACAAAGGTAGTTATTAATCTCTTGTTTCGCCTCTTTTGTTTCTGCTCCAGCAGCATGTTCTCATTGTTTGAAATGTGCCTCCTTACCAAAAGTCTTCCTCAAAAATATACCAAAATGTAAAGTTGATGGAGTCAGCTGTTGTCCCTATATCACTATCGTAGAGAAGACATTTCAGGTAATATGTGTAGGATTAATCTTTCTGCTCCTTAGAACAATAAAAAAGAAGTGATATCTTCTATGTTCTCACCATCTCGGTCTTTCCACAAACATTCTTTATTCTTTGCTGTTCCTGTTCCTTAGTGACCAAATTCCAGAATCTTTCTGACAAAGTTTGAATATCCCTACTTCCAATAACCTACCAGTTTTGCATGCACAGCCTTCATCTCCTGCATATTTCTCTCCTACAAGTACTTTCAACCTCAGCTTTTTCCTTTTTTTCCGGTTTACTTCTCTGTACAACTCATCTCTTGGATTTAGTCATCCTTTAATTTTAGTCATGGACTGAGCTCTAGACATGCAACTAAGTATAGCTGTAGAGGTATATAGCTTTTAAGATTATTCAGCTGTCTTGATGCTCTTCAGCACTGAACAAACTTCTTTAAGGATGTTTGTGCTTTCAGCCATTGAAGTGCAGAGAATAAAATAACATTTTCAGTGTCACACTTTGCAATACTTTAGGTAACTTCATACGGGGAAAGGGCATATGACACACACTGTTTCATAGTTCATTTAAAAAAAAAATAAAATCTTTTAATCAGGAATAGTTCATAACATTCCAACCATTCTGGGAAGGCACCTGACTTCCAAGCCTTTTTGTGGCAAATCACTTTTACAATGACCAAAACACAGACTTCTTACTCTTCAGTTCCTTACTGACCTATTTTGAACTAGTGTGAGAAGTGTTCCAGGAATGGCTTTCTTGTAAAATGGTGTATTATTTGACACTTTATTAGTTGAATGAGTGAAATAAATTAATCACTTGCATATCTTTTGTATTCCCTGCAAA